TTACAAGAGCCAAGATATGGAATCAACCTAAGTGTCCATCAGCAGATGAGTGGATAGAGAAACTGGTATATGCACATGACGGAATACTATTTAGCCATGAAAAAGAATGAAATCCTATAATTCACGGCAACATGGATTAGCCTGGAGGACATTATGTTAAGTGACATGATTGCAGCACAGAAAGACAAATACGATGTGTGCTCACTCATGTGTGGAGCTTAAAAAAGTTGATCTCATAGAAGCAGAGAAGAGAGTAGTGGTTACCATAGGCTAAGGAGGACAGAGGACAGGGGGACATGGAGAGAAATTGTTTAATAGGTACAAAAGTACAGCTAGATGGGAGGGGTAAATGGTGGTGTTCTATAGCGCTGCAGGTGACTAGAGTTAACAGTAATGCATCGCATATGTTCCAGTAGCTAGAAGAGAGGCTTTTCAATGTTCCCAACACAAAGAAATGATGCGTGTGTGAGGCGACGGATATGCTAATTACCCTGACGTGATCTTTACATATTGTATACATGTATCGAAATATCAAACATAAATACATACAGTTATTATGTGTCAGTTAAAACAATAATTTTAAAAAGGAAGGTGAGGGCAGATACACGGAGGTATATTGTTCTATTCTCTCACCTCTTTTGTATTTTAAAAATTTAAAAAGGAGAAAGGAAAAGAGTGCACTGATACACGTGACATGTCGAACCTCAGAGACACGCTCGGAGAAAGAGGCCAGACCCAGGAGACCACACGCCACACGATTCCACTGATATGCGATGTCCACAGTGGGCAAGTCCATGGGGTGACAAAGTAGATTAGTGGCTGCCTGGGGTGGGGGTCGAGTGGGGGGGTGACCGCAGACCAGCCGGGGGGGTCTAATCAGGTCCGTCTTTTTGTTCTATTCAGGCCCCCCCCACCTGCCTTACTCAGTCCACCTGGTCAGGTGTTCCTCTCATCCCAAACACCCTGAGTCATGTTTGACCAAATGGCTGGGCGACTGGCACATAAAATTAGGCCTCATGCTCGCTCACAGCAAGCCTTAGAGAACACAACAGTTGCCACCTCCTTCCAGATAAAGCTTATCAGAAAAAGCAGTTAGAAGTTGGTACAATGCAGGCTGGGTCAAGGGTTCACTCCTCACCCAGCTCAAGGGTTTTGCATGATTTCTTAACCCTGGACAAACATCTTACAAATGTGCCGCCAGCCCCAAGGGGAAGGAAGGAGTGAAGCTCTGTCGCTGACACACGTCCCAGGTGGGACAGCAGTGCTACGTGTCCACTCATCTTCTTCCTCGTCATATTAAACCCCAGAGAAACCCAACACCACAAAACAGAAAGACAGAAGATGCCGGCAGACATAAGCGCATCATCACGCTGTCCTCTTTGCGTGCTGGCCCCCAGTGCCTGTCATTGGCAGTGTGCCCTTGCACTGCAATGGACATTCCAGACCTCCCCTGAGGACGGTAAGTCCCTATGCCAGGCAGAGAGGAGCTGGCCTCTGCTGGCCGATGCCCAACACCTGCAGGAATGTTCAAGAAATATTTCAACCTGCAGTCCCGACCTGTCTGCCCAGCACTCATCAACTGGCCATTTGGAACACCTGGCAAACTGCCCGGATGTACCTGCTCACATCCAGGAGCCATAAAGGCAGAGCATCTGTCTGCCCAGAGGTGGGAAGACTCTGCCGGAGCTCTGCGGACACCCACAGGAGTCACAGTCAGCGTCCTCCGAATGATGTCACACTTCACGCCTGGGGCTTCTCAGTTTATTTGGAAACAAAATTATTGGCTCATAATATTGCCATGGTCATGGGATGTTGCTTTCAGGAAGAAAGGACCGTCATGTGATCTCAGCAGCCAGAACAGAACCAAATGTGAAACTCGCACCTCAGCACGGCTTCTGCTGGGGCCTTGCCACGAGCCAGAGTGAAACAGGCCCGGGTTAGGAGGTGCAGATGGGCTCCTTTGGCCTCAAATTCTGGAGGGAAATCTGACCCTGTGAAGTGCTCTATAAGATGTCATGTGATCCCTGAGAAGAGTAGGAGGCATCATTTGAGATGGTAACACGTTACCACAATGTGTCAAAATAACAGGAAATTGTTTTGTTTTCTCATTGAACACAATGTATTCAGTATTCATCAAGACACTCTTTTTTACAAGGAATTGGAGGTAAATATTTACAAATTATATAGCACAATATGATTATCCATATTATAGGAAGAATTTCTAAAAAATAATATGCGAAAGAACATAGGAGGAAAACAGGTAAAGAATATGACCTGGCAAAATACAAGTATCTAATTAATTATATGTCACTAATCATGAAAAGAGATTCAACTCTCTAGAAATTAGAGAAATGCAAATTAAAATGACATTATTAAAATAGAACGTGACTCTGGACCTTCTTCTCAGATGCGTTCCTGACTCCCTGCCTGTGGCGCATTGGTGTCCAGGGGACACAGCCCAGCCTGCAGAGGTGCTTTTTTTGTTGTTTTTTGGCCCACACTGTTTTTCAAATTTGTATTTAAATTGGATTACATACCAATATTTAAAAGACAGAACATTTTTACATAGAAGTATAGATTGGAACATCGGAAGCACTGGGCACTCTGGGCCTGCCTTCCGCTTGGCCCCACTGGACTGGAGCTGAGATGTGCCACCCCTGCAGCCAGGACGTGGACTCCCCAGTTTCCAGGTCCCCACCAGGCCTGCCCATCCCCTGATGTACCTTTCCAACCCTGGGAGACTTCAGAGTTTGTGATCTTGATCTCTGCCCTCCAGAGCAGAGGCGGCTGCTGACAAATGGCAGAAATAGAGCAGGGGAACCCACTGGCCCCTGTGATCCACCACTTCTGCCCACGTGTATGGCCCCTCTGGGGCTCAGGTCTAATTGCAGCCTTCACTCCAGGCTGGACCCTCAAGCCTCCTGACAAGCTGGCCAGTTTAGTCACCACCTACGCAGAGGCTGAGCCCAGAGCCTGACCTCTGTGCGATGCAGAAGTGGGGAGTTTCACCACACCCCAGGAGAGGAGAGCAGGGAGGGGGAGGGGTGCAGCCAGGTCAGGGATGCTTGGAGCAGCCAGGCCTTCTGCGGGGCTGGGCTCAGCTTGCCCCTTAGTTCCAGGCATCTCCCCTGTCAGCGCCTGGGCTTGAGTTTACTCCTAGGCCCTGGCAGGGTGGGGAAGGGGTACTCTCTGGAGCTGTGGGCATGGAAGCCTAAGGCCAGGTCACCCTCTCCCCAGCCCCCACCCCCCAGATAAGTTCTGCAGTGGGCAGGTCAGGGTTGGAGGGGAGAAACCAGGCAGACGCTCTCAGTGGCTCAGCCTGTTGTCAACCTGACCCTGCCTGAGGTGGGGCGACCCCTCTGAGCTGGAGTCTTAGGCACCCGGCCATGAGAGCTGCAGAAGAAGGGGAAGGCCATGTTCTTGGCTGCTAAGTGCTGCTGGGCAGATAGGAAGGCACTGGTGCCACCTGGAAGGAGGGTGCTCAGTAGGAGCCCACTGTCTGGCAGGGGCCACCTCCTCCTCAGGGATTGGCTGTGTCTTCAGTGCACTTCTACATCCAATGGTCACTCAAGTTGGTAAAATTTCATTATTTATTAGAAATATGTGCATTTACCACTTACAGGGTGCCAGGGCCAATGGGAAGCCCTGGAGGTGGAGAATGGCCCAGCCCCTGCCCCTGGGAACCTACAACTCGGGGGCAAAGCAGAGGCCAGGTAGCCACAGCCTGCAGAATACACACGGGGGTGTGAGGTGGTGGGAAGATGCCTGGGAGGAAGTGAACAGAGCCCCCCAAGCTCTGGGGCGGTGGGTGGTACCTGTGAACCCAGAGGGATGTTGCCTTCCAGGGGCTCCCACGGGAACAGGAGAGTGAAGGCAGTTGCCCCAGAGCCTGTGCACTCCTGGCAGGTGAGGTCTGGCTTCAAGGCACACAGAGCCCCTCTGGATCCACAGGAGAGGAGCCAAATGGGATTCCTGGAGGAGGGGGGCCTTGAAGAGCTGGCACATTTTGGTGAGGAGGGGGCAGCATGGCAAGGTGGGGAGGAGCAGGAACAAAGCGAGACATCAGGGGAGTGCCCGTCAGAAGTTGGCCTTAAGGGTGGAGGCAGGTCCCCCTGCCACAGGCTGCTGTGCTGGGCCCAGGGCTGTGTGTCTTGCTCTGGTTGAGGACCGTCAGCCTGGCAGGTGTGAAGGACAAACAAAGAGCAGGGGCAGTGCCTGGTGACAGGCTTTCCACATGGTCCTGGGAAGGTTCCTGACACTCAGCCTCTGGCAGGTGGAACAGGGAGCACGAAGCTCGGGAACGTCCAGTCACGGTGTGCCTGGCCCACAAGGCCTGCTCCCAGCTGAGGGCCAGGCAGCTTCCCTGTGCTTCGAGCACCTGCCCAAGCCAGTCGGCCCTGGGAGCTGAGTTGCCATGAGCCAGGCTCCCAGCGCCATGCTGGGACAGAACAGGTGCATTGGCTCCTCTGGTCAGGGGCAGAGGCAGGCACCCTGGGGGCTCAGAGAAACAGGCAGCCAGGCCAAGCACAGGCCACCTGAGGGTCTGCGAACTTACTCCTGCCGTGCTCTCACGCGGGCACCTTGGACACTCCTCAGGCCCGGTTTCTTTCTCAGTGTCCCCAGCAACAACAGAAGCTGCCCACGTGTTACATCCCAGGGCCTTTGTGGACACGGTGGCCCTGGATGGTGGAACCACTCTGCAAACTATAAAGTGGAGTGCTGGTGCCCAAGAGGAAGGGCTGATGGAGGGGAGCTGCCTTGCAGGCTGTAAAGGGCAGTCCTCACCGCTGTCACCGGGCCTCCTTCCTGGTGCCCTGACAGGCTGCTCTGCCTCCCCCCCCCGCAGGCCCTCCGGAGCCCGGCGCCCCCCAGCCGCTGCTCATCTGGCTGCTGCTGCCCCTGCTGCTGCTCCTGCTCTTCCTCCTCCTCGCCGCCTACTTGTGCAGGTAGGAGTGTCCCGGGGCGCCGACGTGCCCCAACCAGCTCGGAGGAGGAAATGAGCCCTGGCCAGGCTGCAGGCGTGGGCCTCGCAGATCGCAGGCGGCCCGGCCTTAGCTCGGCTCAGCCATGAGCAGCAGAAAGAGCTTTTCCCGGCTCACCTGGTGGGTATTACTGTGCCGGGGGCTCTTGGCTCTTTGGAAACCTAGATGTGCTGACACCTAACGCGTCTTGTGTCCTAAGGTTCCGGAAGCAGAGGAAAGCTGTAGTCAGCGCTAACGACAAGAAGATGCCCAACGGGATCTTGGAAGAGCAAGGTACAGAAACGCCTGTCCCCGGCCGGGGCTGGGGAGAGCATGTGTCCTTTCTTACCAGGTGGAGGGGTGTTTCCTTTTTTTAAAATATCAAGTAAATCGTAAATTCCTTCACCTTTTCAACTTTGATCTTACTGTACCTGGTATTATGCTGTCATTTATTTATAACTGTAGAATTTCACTGTTTCAAACTTTACAAGGATCATTTTTCTCTCTGGTGTGACACAGATGTTTGAGAAGTTCTAGTTTGTGGCTTTTTGGAAGAGATTGTTCATATCCTGTCGTTTTCACGGGGTTTCGACATAGAACGTTTTTTAATAAGGCCTGTAAAATCGTTCTAAGATAACCCTGGTTCATTGTCTAAAGGGCTCGATGGAAACTGGGCTGTTTCAGGGTCAGGCTGAAGAAGGGGGCTGCTCTGCTAGAGCGTTTAACACTGATGGAGGCCTTTGAGATCCCAAGTTGAGTTTCTAACGTAGATGCTACTTACCAAGGCACATTGTTTTTCTATGCACACATTGAGATGACCGAGAAACTAATATAAAGCAGAGGCCTTTAAAAATATTGGCCCACACCGCTGACTACAACTTCCTGTGGTCAGCTTTCTACCCCATTGTGCCAGGGTTTGGGGGGGACACACATGCTGTCAGACTTCAAATGGAATTTTGAAACCAACCCGAGATAATAAAAAGGATATCGGCAACAAAAGACCTAGAGAGGTGCAGGAGGGCAGGTTCGCAGCACTGGGGGACCCGCAACCCTCGGTAGGTGGGAACCTGGCCCGGTGCCAGCTTGCTGCCCTGTGCCTGCCCTTCCCCCTGCCCTGCACATTTCAGCTGATGGGAAGGAAGAGGGTGAGGCTGGGAGTAGCGGAGAAGCCCAGCGCACTCTCAGATCCGTTCCTGTCTGTCTCCTGGAGCAGTGAGCCTTGGGGGAGTTCTCGGCTGGGCTTCAGCAGGGCTCTGCAGGTGGGGACAGGCCCTTCTGCGAGTGTGACAGCTGCATTATCATGTTGACTTTGTCAATGTCAGCTCATTCCCCAGGAAGAAGTGCAGGCTCGTGACTTCTCTTCTTGCCCCTCACTCTGAACTTACAGATGCTCCCTTCAGCCCGCCCTTCTTTCCAGTGCCCTTCCCCCTGCCCACCCACCCACCCCACATAAGGATGGTTTTCGCTTATTTCCCTTGGAGCCTATGGGGTGTGAGGAACCAGGAGTATTTGTTACAAAGAGGAGAAGGCTGAGGGAGACTCATATCCTAAAGGATTTCCAGCCCGTTCCAAGATTACACCGAGAAGCCTGTAATTATTCTTCTCTGTTTCTAAACCTGGAAACCTGAGCCAGAGTGTGAAGCCACCTTAAACGCTTTGCAGAGGCTCAAGGGCTGCAGGCAAGGAGAGGCGGGTGGGCAGGCGGATGAGTGAGCTGGCAGGGGACCGGGCGTCCATGCGGGGTGAGAGCAGGTGGCACTGCACGGAGGGGTGCCCATCACTTCGAGAGGGCGTGGCTGCGTCTTGGGAAGAAGCAGACGTTTGGATTCAGTCGCTCAGGGCCCCCCTTAGCCCTGGGATACAGGATTTGAGAGGAGCCTCGCTCCAGCCATGTCATTTCTTCAGGAATGGTGTCCGGGAGTGTGGCTAAAGGACGTCCACGTTTCTTTTGATCCCACAGAGCAGCAAAGAGTGATGCTGCTCAGCAGGTCCCCCTCGGGGCCCAAGAAGTACTTTCCCATCCCCGTGGAGCACCTGGAGGAGGAGCTGCGCGTCAGGTCGGCTGATGACTGCAAGCAGTTCCGCGAGGAGTTCAACGTGAGTGCGGGAGGGCCCTGTCCTCGTGTCACGTAGTAGAGACCCGTGCAGCACGGTGTCACGTCGTCGTGTGGGATCAGTTATCCCAAAGACGCAAACACCTGTGTCGATGATGATGCTGTTGTCCCAAAAGTGGGGCTGAGGGAACCTGGTTTCTGGGGCAGTGCCCTTCGCGAATGCTCCTTCCTCATCTCTGAGACGGTGGAGTTGGAGGCTCCTGAAGCCTCCTTCCAGCTCGAACGCTGTAAATGCCCTGTTCTAATATCAATGTGACACACACAGTAATCCCCATCCCGTGGAGGTCCAGGGCCCGAGCACGTGCAGTGTGAGAATTGCACACTGGAGCAGTGGAGCCCCTGGACCATCCTTTTGCAGCTCTTAGAGCTCGAGTGTCCGATTGGGGTAGGAAATGTCCCTCTTCTGAGCCACTGTCAAGCAGTCATGGGGACTGCCCTGAGGGGACACAGGTCTGCTCTGCCTGTGGAAGTAAGCACGAGTCTCTGCGTTTCATCCTGCCACTGCTGTTTGAGATGAATTACGTCCATAGCCTTAGCAGTGGCAGCAGCTAACTTCAGGGGACGCACGTGACTAAGTGGCACTGTCCCTGTTGCAGCAAACTCATTCTCTTAACTCTCAGCATAAATTGCAGATGTAAATTATCGACACCTCCCCTTGTGTTGTTACTTTTTTATTGAATGTCCTGTGGATTTTGGATCCGCTGTTAGAGGGTACTTCAAAAAGTTCATGGAGAGATCCATATTATATTTCAGTTCTATTTTTCCGTGAACTTTTTGACATGCCCTCGTATGCATCTAGGTAGAGAGATAGACAGACAGATAGATATAATGACATATGATAGATGGAGGGAAGGAGGAAGGGAAGGACGGACAGACAGACAGACACTGAGAAGAGATGTCTTGGATTTCATTATTCAGTGTTTGTTCCCTGATCGTGTTCTGAGTTGGGGTTTGTGCATTTTCACCTTCCTGTGTGCCTGCTTGCTGAGGGTCGAGCTGAGAGAGGATGGGTTTCCAGTGGGATTGCTGACTCCTCCTGACCCCGGCACATCAGTTAACCTCCTCGAAGCTGCCATCGATGAAGGGGGTGGGCCTGGGCCTGTCTTAATTCTCTCTCCTTTCCAATGTGTGGCTCTGACAACAGATTCTGTAGACAGCAAAGTGTCGTGCGATTGTCACACCTGAAGACCCCATGGACTCTCCTGCAGACATATGACTTTTCACACACAAACAATCTGTGAGGTCACGGCAAGGTGACGGCACACTTAAACTATACTTTGCTTATTTTTTATATTACTTTTTTTTCTACTTTTTGGCGTCTGGATTGTTCAGGGATCCGAACCTCTGACCTTGGTGTTATCAACACCACGCTCTAACCAACTGAGCTAACTGCGTAGTCTCCTTTGCTTATTTTTTATTACAAGCCTCATCTGCTTTATCTTGCTTCCCTTTTATTGTTTCCAAATGTGTCCCCTGCTTTTCTTTCTTTTTGAGAAATGAGGTCATATTGAAAGACAGCTCCAAGCACCATTGTTTTGCAATCTCTCAGCCTGACAAGAGAAGTTAATTCTCCATTTTCAAAATAACTAATCAAGTTTGCAGCTAGAATATTCCCACCCACCCCCCTTCTCGTCCCATTCCCCTTGCACTTTAGTTTCTCCATGTGGAGGGCAGCTGGTGGCTGGGCTTGCTGGTGGAGGCTCTGAGTCAGAGGCAGCTGGCTTTGCCAGTCTCTCAACAGTGGGGCAACTCCCCGGAGAGGGCCAGGAATGGGGTGAGAAGGGTGAGGCTCTTGCCCCAGGCACAAAATTTAAGAGGGCACCAAAAAGCTCAGTAGTCAGGATAAATCATATTTTAATGCAACCTTTAAAAATATCAAAATGTTTGCACACAGTCCTCGGGGAACAGAATTGCACAATGCTCGATGAAGACAGGGTTGACCTGACATTTTTCCTGTTGCCCTGGGCTCCCATGCAGCTCGTCACCTCACTGATTCTGTCGTTACCTAAGAGTTTGATTTTTAGTCATCATGGATTCTGTGCATTAATTCAGATTTTTTAAAAAATATATTGCATTCGAATATTACTTCCTGAGTTTTTTGGTATCCCTTTAAAGTTTGCAAGGGCTTGCTCAGCTGAACATGCAGTCCACCTGCCCAGCGGTGGGTGTGTGGAGAGATGGTGCAGGGAAGAGCCCTGGAACTGGAGTCCAGGGGGTCCTGCCTGGGGGGGACCCTGTGGGAGCTGCTTGTTTACTGTTCTCTCAGTTGAGGCTCTGGTTGTGTCCTAAGGCCACATCCATCCATGCAGCACCACCCTTGCAGGAGCATGGGTGCCTGTGTGGCCAGCCCACTCCTGGGCCCTGAGATGGACATGCTGAGCTCGGCTCTTGCACCCCTTCTTTCTCTCTTCCTACCCGCGGCTCTGAACTCCTCTCCCAGATGTCACGAGAGGGACCCAGATGAGGCTCAAAGTGGTCACACCAGTTGAGTTTGGACATTTGTGGTTGACGATCCAAAGCTCAGGCCAATGTAATGAGGATAAAAAGGGTTTGGTATTGGGGTCAGCACATTGGGGTGAAGGCAGGAGTCAGCCTGTCTGAGTGTGTGTTCCAGCTGGAGGGCTTGGGTAATTTACTTCCCCCCGCCTCCGTTTCTCACTCTTTGAAATGGGAGTGCTCCCTGCCCCCATTGGATTGTGGTAACATGTAGATGAGTCCTTACCAGTGACCTCTGCAGTCTCCACCCTGCAATGGTAGATGGTGTCTTCCCCGGCCCCGATTAAACCCTGTCAAGTGAATGACACTAGGCCAAGTGACAGTCCCTCTCCATGTAGGATCTTCCAAGCCTCCATCCCAGCAAGTTATTTCAAGCCAAGTGCATGGGGCCAACTCAAATAAATGCTTAGAAATGCACAGAGAGGTGTCACCAGGAAAAGTTTCAGCACAATAAACAAACCAGAACCATCCTCTGGAGCTGGCTGGAACAGCTTGGGTCTCTTGCAGAACCACGGAGGGGAAGGGACGTGGCTCGGGTATTCATTGAAATGAAATGTCACCTCAAACAAATAAACAACACATCCTCCTTGGACAATTTACATAATTGGACAATCGATCATAAGGTATTTATCAACCAATTACTACATGCCAGGCTCAAAGAGGCACTGCAAGGCCCATCCAGTTACCATAGACCCTTCTGGCTGCTCCCTTATGTCCCCAGAGCCACTTGAGCAGCTTGGAGAGTTGAGTCCCCAAGTAGACTGACTTGGGCACTGGGGGTGTGCTGGGCCGAGTCCCTGCAGGGATGTGACTCTGTGTGCTTGGATCCGGGTGTGCGTGCGGTGCACAGAGCACCTCCCTCACCCTGTCTGACCCTCAGTGCAGGCCACCGAGCCCAGCAGTGCTGACCATCTCATGTTCCCAATCGTGGGTAGCTCCTGGGGTCACACAGCTAGGGGTGACAGAACCTGTCCCCCCTTGCCACTTAGACCCCTCTGGAGAGGCTTCTCAATTTCTTTTAATTTATTGTTTTTTAATAGACTTTATTTTTTGGAACAGTGTTTGGGATACAGAAAAATTTCACAGAAAGTGCAGCGTTCCCACATCTCCCATCTCTCCCCTGCAGGCGGTTCCTTGTTATTGATTGACATCTTGCATTGGTGGGCTGCATTTGTTACCACGGATGAGCCAGCAGTGATACAGTGTTACTAACTAAAGGTCACCGGTTAGGGCTTGTGTGTCCTCCTTTCTGTGGGCTTTGGCAACTACACAGAATAATGTATCCATCATCACAGAATCATGCCTCCTTTTTATTTCCAGCACTGGAGTCAAAAAGCTTTTTAGGGTAGAAAAAGAGAAGGCTGTAGAATGTTACCACAAATGCAATGTTTAGGTTAGGTTCAGAAGGTCAGTGTGAAGACAACTTTGAAGAAGAATTATAAATGCCAGGCTGGGTAGGTGCTGGTGGCTGAGGACGAAGCCAGGAACCACCCCACCAGGCTGGCCCCTCCACGCTGGCCCTGGTAGAGCCTCCACCTGTAGTCATGGGGTTTGGTGGCCCCAAAAGCAGAGGAAAGAGGGTGGCCTCTGGCGCCCTGCAGTGAGCACTGGCTGGCCAGGGCTGAGTCTGTGACTGAGAAGCTCCCTGCCCCGGAAGAGGGAGGTTGGGGTACGGGGGGTGGCAGGGCAGGCCCTGACTCACAGCATGGACAAGCCTAGGGCAGCGGGGCTTTGAGCTGAGGCTGCTCGGTGAGGGCTGTCCCACTCTCCCGGGCACTTACAGAGGGACACGCAATGCCCTCACTCTTTCCTGTGCTTGAAGGAATGAGCGCCCTCCCCTCCTTGTGGTTTGGTGCCGGCTGCAGGCCAGGCTGCCAGGCCCCCACCCAGGGCCTGCCCCTTGCTAGCCAGTGACCCTGGGCTAGTCTGCAACACCTTGTCTTGGCTTTCAGCTTCCTCATCCATAAAGTGGGGGTGATGCTAGTGTCACCGGATAATAGGTGAGTTGCAGAGGCTGGGGTAAGACAGCTGGAGCCAGCCAAGAATCAGAGGCAGGTGGCACTGAGTAGGAGAAAGAACGAGAAGTCAGGATGCCTCAGTTTACACCCCTGTGTGCCACTCCCCAGTTGCAGTGCCCTGGTGAAGTGATCCTTCACACCTCGGCGTCCTCATCTGAGAGAGAGGGCCGGTCGGGAGTATTGACCCCAGGACCTCGGTCATGCTCTGCTCAGTCCGTAAGACTGGGTGGGGCTGCAGAGTCGGCGTTGCTTGTGGGTCCCCAGGCCCTGCCGATGCTGCTGGTCCAGAGCACAACCAGAGTCTGAAGCAAGGTTGGGACTGCACCTGGGGTCTCTTCCCCCACCCGTTCTCTCCCCAGCATCACAATACTCATCCTTCAGCCCAGCCCCAAAGCCACACAGCCCTGCTCAGCCATCCACACCTTACTGCTCTGTCTCCTGGCTGGAGCTCTGTCCTGGTCAATCTGTACCTCCCCGTTCCCCTGCTCTGTGTCAGGACCTGGGTCCTGGGATCGGGTAGGGATGCATGGGCAAGCCCCTGCCTCATGCAGCTCAGGGTCTGGCTTATGGGACCATCGTTTTGCCCACACCTCTGTTGGCCCCAGTAGACAGCGCACTCTGAGGAAAGCCAGGGCCTATGTCTCATTCATCCTCTTCCCCGTACCTCATACGGGTGCGAGGCAGGGGCGGACAATGGACAGAAGATACTTTGCTTAGAGATGGGTTCTCTTAACTCCCCAGGGAAGCTGATGTCAGCACGCTGCTAACTGTACATTTTCTTCCAGTCGCTGCCATCTGGACACATACAAGGAACTTTTGAACTGGCAAATAAAGAAGAAAACAGAGAAAAAAACAGATATCCCAACATCCTTCCCAGTAAGGTTTTACTTTGCTTGCATGACCAATGGCATTTGCACTAACCTCAGCATGGCCTTGCAGCTCCCCTGACTGCGTCTGTCCGGAAAGCGTGATGTCCGCGGTGCTTGGACATCAAGGGCCCCTGTTTCAGGATAGCTGCTCAGCACTTGCACCAGGGACTCTAAAGTGTTCCCCTCTAGGTGCCTGTCTCCCAACACAGACTTTGGAACTTTTGTTGCTCATGGGTCTGGCTGCTAAGCCTGTGCTAGCTGTTGAGGCCTTGGGCCTCACACTAGGCCTGCTGGTGGCCCTGGGCATCTCCCCTTCCTCAGACTCAGTGTTCTTGGCCACAGCAGCAAGTGCCCAGAGTCCTTTGGGGTGCTGGACCAAGGACAGAAATGACACAATAAGAAACCTCGAGAGGGTTCTGACATCTTTAGCCCAGCCTATGTAAGAGAAGCTATGGTCTGTCCAATCTGTGGTCTCTGGGTCTTCAGGCACTTTCCAGAAATAGTTCTTTCCCATTTCACATGCATGAGTTTTAGATGTGGTTTTTACACAGCCCACCATGAGCCCATGATTCAACTGAAACTAGAGAAATTAGTCAAATAGTCCTTCATTCAACACACGTTTGTAGGCAGGCCCGGGGGGGACTGGTCAGGAGGCCGCTGCAGTGGATGTGCCACTGAGCTGTGAGGTGGGCTGGCTCCAGGGCTAGATTCTGAACACATTGTGAAGATTGAGTCACCAGGATTTGCTGCCAGATGGGGAATAGGAAGACCGTCGCAGGAGTTTAGGGTTCTTTAGAATAATTCATGTCAAATGCAAATCTGATATTTGGAAGTTATCAATTTTTAATTTAATTAATTACCTTATGCCTTGATTTGCCAAATGTACGCATTAAGGGCCTGCTCCACAACAAGCACTTTTCCAGGTTCCTTACCTGCTTTTCTCTCTTAATCACCAAGACTTTCTCTCTTAAAGGCAGTATTTACATTGTTAATTGAGAGCATTTAGGTGGGACCTCCGTGGCAGCAGAATCAATGGCCAGGTGTGGGAGTCACCTGCATCCAGCCCCTCCTCCCGGTTTGTGCAGGCCCGGGGTGGAGCCGCTGGGGATACACATGGGAGCCCCAACCTAGAGCAGGTGGAGCCTTCCTCCTGCAAGTCTTCTCCAAGCTGGATTCTCTGGCTTGTACTACGGAAGTAAATTGGCCTTTCCTTCAAGTGTGATAGTGTGGCAGGATGCTGAGCAGGCTTTTCCAGCTCCCTGTATAAGGTCTCTCCCCCACCTCCTGACCAGGGTGAGGGTCTGCCCCAGCTCCTCCCTGCCCATCCAGGGCTAGGGGATACCGCCAGACATGGCGTGTTTCACACAAGTGGGACGTTGGCTTAAATGGCATGTAGGCATTGTGTCCTGGAGAGGACCAATGGGTGGCATGTGGTGTCTGGCGTCAGGAAAACTAAAGGCTAAAGGAGAGGCACGTCTGATTAAACCAAGCAGTTGGTCAGAGGTGTCACTGGGACCCCTGCTGGGGGCCAGGGCTGCTGGGCTGGATCCTGGGACATCAGGGCAGGGGTGTCTCAAGGCTGCTCTCCAGACTCCCAGGGGGAGAGCCCCTGCTGTCATTCAGGTGGGAGTTAGGGTCAGCAGGGGAGACGCAGAAGAGAAGACCAAATCCCACAGCCCGGGACACCTTCCCTGCCTTTCCTGGCCTCACTAAGTTGACTGTAGATCTTTCATCAGATCTACAAGGGCCCCATGGGCTGGAAGCCCAGTCACGTGTGTGGCGCTGGGAAGCTCTGAGGACACGGGTCAAGGTACCATCTGTGTCTGGGAGGCTGGACTTTTGCCTATGGGAAGGCTCCATGGCCAATGGCAAATGAGTCGTCTTTTTCTGGAAAAATGCCAACAGCTGATAATTTTAGGAAATGTTTTGAAAGTGAAGTGTGACTTTTTCGAATAGAAAGACAGGAAGCTCTTAGAAACTGCAAGATTCTAAATCTAACCAGAAGGCTATTTTTTACCCTTCGCTTTTCTATAGCTGTCCTCAAAGCTTAGATCAGTCCAAATTATTTTCAACTGGCATTATACGTGTTCAGTCAGAGCTATTTCTGCCTCGGTTGTCAGCCCCTGAGCAGAAGGGTCTCACGGCGAAGTCTGCATGGCTGTAAGTTTGGGGTTTTGACACCCTGACTGCTCATGTGACCCTGAGAGCTGCACTGGCCCCTCCTCTGAGGCCACCGGCTCGTGGCCATGCAGCTGCTGTCCAGGTGAGGAGAGACAGTGCACCATGCGGGGGCCCTGCCCAGCACTACGTGGCAGCACAGCCCTCCCCGGTTACTGTCAGTCCTGAGGGGAGTAGGGGGGCAGAAAGCAGGGATAAGGACTTACCTAGACTTATTCAGTAATAATTCAATAAAGAGGTACTAAGTACCTACTGAGTACTGAGCTCTGCCCAGCACAGCATAATACCCTCAGAAACAGCTTTGTCCCAGGCCAAATCTGGATATTCCTCAGAAAGTGGCCCACGTATTCATCACACACAGGGGCGCGGCGCCTGGGTCCACAGTGCTTTAAGGGGCCCGTGAAAATGTTCTTCTCACTGCTTTTAAAATCATAAAAAATGTATACATATCCCAGCCTGCATTATAGTCATGTTTTACTATTTATGCAGTCATAAAATAACATTTAAAAAATTTTTTTATGGAGGAAGAGGCCCATGAAGGCAGAAGTGACTGGGGCCCACAAGAGTCATAATGGAGCCCTGGTTGAAACCTCCCCGACATGCATACACACACACACACCACACCACACACACATGCAACACACACACAACATACACAATATGCACACCACAGACATACATGTACACACCACACATGCACACACATACCACATTCACACATACTGCAGACATACACATACACACACACTACACACATACACACATATACATATGCACACCACACACACTCAAGATACACTATGTCATACACCACATATACACACACACGCCACACAACACATTCAGACCACACATACATACCACACACAATATACATGTACACACCACACACTACAAGCATACACATACACACACACACTCACACACACCACAAACATGCACACACACATCACATACACACAGAGCACTCCCACCCTGGAAAACTGCTTGCACAACAGGCTGGAATCTTCCAGGCAGGTGGCCCAACATGCCCAGTCCAGATCTGCGTGAGTCCTGCTTTACCTTCCAGCTCTGGGCAAACTGTGAAGGGTGGGGATCAGGGTTCAAAGTCCCTAACCTCCATCCTCAACATCTACTTGTCTTCATGGGTCATTTTCCTGGAAAGCCCAGGAAAGTGGACTCAGTTCTTCTGTTCTAAGGTTCTCCTGAGTCCACCCACACGTGTCAATCTGGGGGCCCAGTGTGGCGTTCATAAACATGGTCATTGCATGGGTCCTGGCACATTCTGCTGTCCCCTGCATGACAGTTGAGCAGTCCCCACCTGGGACACTGAAATTCTACTGTTGTCATCATTCCAGAGTTGAGGTAAAGTCAGAGTTCAGTAAAGCAGGTGCGTTCCCACCCTCAGAGCACTAACAGCCTCGACAGGAATGTTAAAAATGTTTCTCTATCCCCAAGATCGCTGAGGAGGACCTGGTTGTGTCCTTTCTAGTGGTTAATACTTAATATTTCAGATGAAAGAAATACATGGCACATGTGATTCCTTATCCTAATATCATGGGTTTGTTTGTTTGTTTTTCCCAGATGATCATTCTAGGGTGATTTTGAGCCAAGTGGACGGAATTCCCTGCTCGGACTACATTAACGCTTCCTACATAGATGTAAGTCAGCAGAGGTGTCCTGTTCCCTGGCCTGGCACAAAGCACACACGGGGGATTTGTGGGGGCAGAGTGTGAACCATGACCAGTGGGTGCCTCCCTCTCTGGGGTCAGATGCAAATAGTTACAACCTCTCTGGGCAGCTTGGCCACAAGCACCAAGAGAGGGACACCATCTGTACTTGTCGAGCTGGCATCTGCATCTGGGACTCTGTTTCCAAGAGACAGAGATAAGCACATAGGATGTTCATTACAGTGTTATTTTCATCACTGAGTAAACAGAACAGGAGGGGACCAGTTAAACAAATTGTGGTAAACCCACATGCAATGGATTATTAAGAACCCATTTTAATTAATCTTTAAAAGATTATTTAATATGAATTATAAAATTTTCATTAAAAATACAGTGTGAAAGAACTTACACATATTGCACAATTAAAAATATATAACTGTCTGTGCATCTGCTTGTGTACGTGTCTGGGAAGGTATTTGCAGAAAAAAAAAGACTAGTGAGGGGACGTATGAAAATAGCATTTGTTGTTTCTGAAATTATTGGTGAGTTTTCTTTATTTTTTTCCTGTGTTTTGCAAATTCTCCATAGCGAATACATATTCCTTTCCTAACAACAAATTCCTTTTAGTAAAGATAATTCTAAAAAGTTATAAATCTGATTTTATTTTTCTAGGGTTACAAAGAGAAGAATAAATTTATAGCAGCTCAAGGTAAGTTTTTCATTAAGTTAATTTCTGAACATTGTTTTGGTAAAGTGATGCAAACGGTCATTGTTTCCTGATCTCTATGCCAATAATACCAAGAATTTATATTGGTATTTTTTTGCGTGTGTACTGCTACATTTATACTGCCTGATTATAGTCTATTGAAGCTATGTCTCTAAGCCCAAGAATTCAAATATGTCGTGAATCTCATAGAGCCTTGCGATCAACGTGCGGTCAGTCCTGGGAGCTGGTTAGAAATGCAGACTCTCAGGCCCCGTGCCAGGCTGAATCAGAGTTGACACGTTAACAAGTATCCCAGGTCATTCTCCGCGTCAGTGTGAGAAGCTCTGCAATGTTGAAATGTTCAAGCCCACCCTGCAGACACTGCTCCAGAGGAGCAGAAGAGTTGGAACCCAGGAAAGCTCTAGACCCGGCTCTCATCTGAATCCCCTTTATTGCCCGTGAATATCACAATATAACATAATAAGCTAAACGAGGTCCCATTATTTAGCTGGAGTTGGGTGAGTGCATCAGGACAGACCAGGAAGGCTGGAGACCTACTGGTCCCTCCCAACCTCTCCTGATTCTGGAATTCTTCAGGGCGTGGAATGTGTCAACCAGCTGTCACCATGGCTTTTGTGCCTCAGAGGTGAACAGACATCTCGGGGACCCCCTGGCCAGGTGCAGGGGCGGGGACCCCGCAGCGACTTCTCTTTACGCATTTTAACTTTGGAATTATCCTCTACATACAGGCCCTAAACAGGAGACCGTTAATGACTTCTGGAGAATGATCTGGGAACAAAAGTCTGCGACGGTCGTCATGTTAACCAACCTGAAAGAGAGGAAAGAGGTAAGTACGCAGCTGCCTCGGCCATTTCCTCAGCTCTGCGGGGTTTTCTCACCACTTCCTCCTGCTATATCCCTCCCTCCTGTCACTGCAGAAGAAAAAACCACCCGGTGGCTCACAGCATTTTAATCTTGAAACAAATTCTCTGAGCTCCGGGTATCTGTTTTACTCTATAACAACGATAAGAGAGTTTTTGTTTTTTTTCTAGCTGAGGGTCACCGTGGCTGGCCTAACAGCTGCCACTCCATGGTGGGAGCGATGGGTTTTAGGGTTTGGATTGTTAACATGTTGGATGTATAATGTGGCAGGCCACAGACTATACATGAGAATGATTTCATGTCTACTTTCCAGACTAGGGAAATGCATTTGAAGGAATGTTGATTTGTCATCCACATACACGAGGGGTCTTCAAAAAGTTCATGAAAGGATTCGTATAATCTTTTAGTCCATGTTTCCATGAACTTTTTGAAGTATTCTCATATTTAATTAGCTGTTTCTAATTCAAAAAGGGATGCATGTGCATGATAAGAATTTGAAACATACACAAAGAAGAAAAGTTGAGCAGATGCATCTCACGTCACAAATGCCCAGTAGCACCTGCCATACTGGCCCAGTGCTGCCCCCGGCGCGAGGAACGGAGGGAGCCCTTGGAGAGTTTTCAGCAATTAAGCAGGGATCTGTGTTTTAGGCAATGAACTCACTCTCCAAAATCAAGGAAGAATTGCGAGCCTGAGGGAGACTTGCTACAGGTGGGGCCACCAGTTAGGAGACGGTGCTTCTGGCATGTTCTAGCATGGTGGGTGCTGTCTGTCCTGCCTGGCCCCTGCCCAGGGCCTCCCTGTCCTGAGCGCTACTTCTGCCCTTCACTGTTCGATGGCCTGGCCCAGGAGCACACAGGCAGTGTGGCAGGACTCAGGGTGAGAGCTGCTGTTCAGAGGCAGGTGACAGGCCTTGGGGAGCTCAGCGGGGGCGGGAGGAGGGGGCGGGGAGGCAGGAAGGGCAGGCCGTGAACCGCCCCTCCCCACAGCACGACTGTACTAATTGGTTGCACACCAAAAAGCACAGAAACAAGCCTCCAGCCACCATTTCCAGTCGAGGAAGTTGAGACAGGGCTGGGGAGGGCCACCCCTTCTCACTGTGCGAATCCTGAAGTTGTCATCCTTTGTCACTGGAAAGAGTGACAGGAGGGAAACGGGATTCCCCGGTGGGTGCAGGACACTGAACCCTGCCTTGGCTGGAGAAGAAACCTCACGCTGACCCTTCACCAGGGGACTTGGGACCAGTCCTCCTGGGGCTGGCTCTGCAAGCCTGCAACCTGCAGAGACCAGTGCAGAGGTGGCAGCCCCCGGCGAGCGTGCCCCCAGTGCCTCCTGCAGTCGCTCCGCTGGCACGTTATTGGCATCTTCTCTCTGATCCTCCTCCGCAGCCTCCTACTGGATTTTTCCATCGCTGTGACTCACTACTGGCCTCCCTCTGCATCTTGCTTTTCACCATTTCAGATGAAATCATTTCTCAATAGTTCCCTTTTTCTTCGTTGCTTACACCTCTGTTGTGGTCTCCCCAGCTCCCACATCCTGGGCTCTGTGTTGCGAAATGCAGCTGCCCTGGCATCTCATGATCTGGTAGGATGAAGGGGGAGGCCTGGGGCGTCAAAACAGCTGCAAAGCCTGAGCCCTTTGGGGGCCTTAGACACAGTCCTGGGTCCCCGAGAGAGCTTTTCTAGGCAAGAATCTCAGGAAGGTCTCGGGGGCCCCAATAAGACTGAGACCCACTCAAAGCAGGACCTTTGGGTTATTGCTCCTGGGGCCACTTCGGAGATGCCCTGTGAACGGCAGAGCAGCCAGAGCCGGGACGGAGGAGGGGGAAGTTTGTCCCATGGGTGTCATAACACGAGGATGTTGGTCACTGGTAAATGCCAGATGCTTTTTGTTTTGTAAGATTATTCATCCTCATGGCTTGGCCAGTTAGCTGTGCCAGTCACGGGCCATTTCCAGGATAAACATCAGACATTTGGACGTCTCTTAAACCCGGAGACCTTTCTATGGTACGTTAAGCAGGTCTTTTCCCCCTTTGGGTGGGTTCTCATTCATTCATGTACCCCATGCACATGGAAGACTTAATACAGGTTAGGTGCCAGAGGCGCTGGAGAATAAAAGGGCTCCTGGAGCTTGTGTTTTGGGCCACTGCAATTTTGGAGCGAGGGGAAGTGAAGAAATAACAAGGAGCCCATTTTCTGCAGACTCCCATGTCAGCCTCATCTTCCTGGGAGAAACGAGGATCATTAGGCTGAAGTGCGTGACTCCTAGAAGGGCCGGTGGCAATGCAGATGACATGTGTCCTCAGTGAGCTGAGCAGAAACGACCCGCTGAATCGGATGGGGGATGTTTGGGGAACTGCAGTCCCTGGGGGCTGGTGTGAACCCTGCCGCAGCCCTGAGGGTGATCGTGGCCCCAGCTCTGAAGGAAGTGGGCTCAACGTCACTGTAGGGCCAGCTGAATAAAACGTGTGGCATTATCGCTGCACCAGCCAGCCGCCACAACAGACATGCGGGTAATGAAGTGGATGAGTGAGTGAGACATCTTTGGTGCTGGATCAGGAGGACTCGGGGGTCCTAGTCATCATCTCAGGGCTCCTTTTAACCGGTTGCGTGGACTCGGTTTCCCCACTTACAAGGAAAACGCACTTGCCCGAGCCCTTTCCCCACTTCATGAGCTGTTTGACCTGAGGCTGGTGTGCGTGAGGCCTGCGTGGATGGCACAGCGATCCACTTGTTTCTGTTACCTTGTCCCACGCAGGAGAAGTGCTATCAGTACTGGCCCGACCAGGGCTGCTGGACCTACGGGAACATCCGGGTGTGCGTGGAAGACTGCGTGGTTTTGGTCGACTATACCATCCGCAAGTTTTGCATACAGGCGGTGAGCATCTCCAGAGGAATTTTCTGAAAGATCATTCTTTGAGAGCACATGTCAAGATTAAACACATTTCTACGTTTTATAATATGAACCATTCTGAACCCCCACCCCACCCCAGCGCTGTGGGGGCTGGAGCTTGTGGCCAGGCTGGTATGGGGTTGGGCGGGTTAATCAGCTGAGGACGCGAGTCTGCAGGGCATACCCGGTGCTCCTGGCTCCCGGGGGCAACTCGGCTTCCCCAGGAGGAGGACAGTCAGTTGAGGGCAGGGGATCAGGTCCCCCTCGGTAGCACAACCCCATTTCACATGCTGGCATTGTGAGGCAGGGTGTTTAACACTTCCAAAATGTTGTCTGGAACCTCATTACTTTTCACACTTATTTCCTGCTAGTCCCCCCCACCCACCCACCCAACCCAAGGGTTTTAGGTGGCCTTCGAAAAAATGCTGTATACAAGGCACCTGAAATAAAGATTTAAGAGAAAACCATAGAGGAAACAGAGGTCATTTTGTCAGGAATCAAAAATAAGTGATTGCATAATTACAGCACAAAATATGAGTCTGAGGTTCCTAGGAGCCATGGCAAAAAGAGAAAAGGATGAACCTTTTCATTCCTATGATCCCCTGCTCGCCTCCCTCCCAAACTCACACACACACACTCACATGTGCAAACGCATGCACACACATACTTCCAAAACACTGCTTATATATAAACTTCCGTGGTCTGGGGCAGGAGAACTACTCCTGGGCTCTGGGTATGGAAGCTGAGAGGGCTCTGAGGGTGGGTCTGGGGGTTTCCGGTGAGTAGGCCGACCACACCATCTTCCCTCCCAAATTTAACACACTTTGAGAGGGAAAGGATGTGCTGTTGGTAAGTACTCAGGACCACGGGCATAAAGTGGACTGTCCAGGCAAAGTGAGACATGGCGACCCTGCTTACAGATGGGTCCATGAGCATTAGGATCAGCTTTGGGGTGTGGCCAGTGCCCTGGGCCCTGCTCTATGCCCCCCATCCTGAGCGGCCGTGGCACCATGTCCAGAGCCGGCAGTAGCGCGTGCCAGGACTCTCTGCCTTCAGGTGTCCTCCCCACATGTGGCCCCTCCCCACACACAGCCCTGGCTGCTCCTGCCTGGAGGGTGTGGGGGAGCCGTGCGAGCGTTCTCAGAAGGAGATGGGAGGGCAGGGGCACGGTGCATGCTGTCGGCTCACATCACCCCTCCTGTGTCCCCTGCAGCAGCTGCCCGATGGCTGCAAGTCCCCGAGGCTGGTGTCGCAGCTGCACTTCACCAGCTGGCCTGACTTTGGGGTGCCCTTCACCCCCATCGGGATGCTGAAGTTCCTGAAGAAAGTGAAGACGCTCAACCCCACACATGCCGGGCCCATCGTGGTCCACTGTAGGTAGGTCGGGGCGGGTGCCACGGGCAGGACCCTCGAGAGCAGCCCACGGTGGGAGGACTCGCCCCTCGTGGGAAAGTGACCGGTGGACACTGGGCAGAGGCGGGCAGAGGTGCAGGCAGGGGGACATGCACACACTCGTGCAGTCACTGAGCAGTGGCTTACAGTCCTACAGGGAGAGAGCTGGAGGGGTGTTCAGCCCCTGGTGCACCCTGTGGTATCAGAGCCCCCTCTTCAATAGCATCTGAGGGGGAACCCCAATATGTAAAACTGACAGAAGTCAAAAGACCCAGGTTGATGGTGGGAGTGAAGCTCTGGGCAGGTTCACTTGGCCTCCCTCTCATCTCTGCAAAGGACTCCCAAGTCACCTCTGGAAACAGAGATGGAAATCGTGCATCTACAGGACCCCCCCACCCCCTGCACACACACACATCTATAGAAGAGCACACTGAGGCTCAGAGGGGCTGGGAATGACCCCAGAGCACAGCCAACAGCCAGGAGCAGAGTCCTCCAGAGCAGGCTGTCCTGTGCACTAGGCTGCCCCCACTGGATGCCACTCACTGCTCTCAGCCTCGGTTTCCTCGTCTGTCATGGAAAAGACAACCTTGGAGAAGCCAGTGACTTGTGTCTGGGGTGGACGGACCTGCTTGCTCCTGCCAAGCTTTACCCTCACCAGGTGTCACTTTGATCAGATACTGAGTTTCCAGCTGTTACAGACAGGTTCATCCTGAGTATCACAGCACTGCCAGGGACAAAAGCCACCTGCACACAGTGATGCAGGTGCTCTGCACTTGTCACAGGTGTTCAGGGGAAGCAACCAGAAACTCTAGCAGAACTGGCTTTCACCAAGTGTGAGCAAGACCGTGCAGCTGGGGCCAAGCAGGGCTGGACCATGTCCCATCCACCCTCCAGCACAGCCCATGCTGGGAGGAGCCGGCAGGGTCAGGTAGCAGTAATCTTACAGATGTCACATCACTTAATGCCCTGAGACAGGTGACAGTGTTCTCTCAGTTTGCCAGAGGAGGAAGCTGAGACCCAGAGGTATTACATAGTTGATCTGAGGACCCTCAGCTCCCAAGGAACAGATCCAGGGTGCCATATCTGGCCAGGGCACAATTACACAAGTGGTAACAAGAAGACAGTGTTTGGTAACAGAGGCAAAGCTTGGGACACAGCAGACTTTCTGTAGTTAGCAGGGGAACGACCTGAGACCGGGCTGCGCGGGTGCAGCACCTTCAGGTGGCCGTACCGTGGACTCGCTGTGTGCGGGCTGCGCGCTGGTGACTCGGCCAGGGCTGCCTCCTGGCCCGGCATCCTCAGGGCCTGTCACCCTTGCGGAAAGTGACTCACGGTGGGACCCTCGTGTTCCCCGCAGCGCGGGCGTGGGCCGCACAGGCACCTTCATCGTGATCGACGCCATGATGGACATGATGCAGGCGGAGCAGAAGGTCGACGTCTTTGACTTTGTGTCGCGGATCCGCAACCAGCGCCCTCAGATGGTCCAGACGGATGTGAGTGCTGGCTTCCTCTGATGCCGCATGCCCCGGGCTGCGGGCCCTGGCTTGGGGTGGCACGTGGTCCCCGCCCTGAGCTTCTCTGGTCCCCTGCAGATGCAGTACACGTTCATCTACCAAGCCTTACTCGAGTACTACCTCTACGGGGACACGGAGCTGGACGTGTCCTCCCTGGAGAAGCACCTGCAGAGCCTGCATGGCGCCGCCACCCACTTCAACAAGATTGGGCTGGAGGAGGAGTTCAGGGTGAGTGCTGCTGCCCTGGTGCTGCCCCGGGTGGGCAGCCTTTAAATGCCACCTCCTGCTGTCACCTATCCTCTTGCCCAGCTATGACAATCAGAGGCTTTCAGAGCTTCACAGCCACCAGCAGGGCACTGGGATGGGGACAGGTGTTTCCTTTGAGCAGACGCCCTTGCAGGTAGTGCTGGCACACGGCTGAGCGATTTGCTCAGTGTCAGAGCTCTCACTGCGTCACTGTATCCTTCTCGGCTACAGAAATTGACAAACGTCCGGATTATGAAGGAGAACATGAGGACAGGCAACTTGCCAGCAAACATGAAGAAGGCGAGGGTCATCCAGATCATCCCATGTAAGGCAGTCCTGGGGAACGGACCTTAACCCGTGGCGTTGGGGCTGGGCAGGGTTGGTACCGGGTGGCTTCAGTTACTGAGGATCGACTGATCACTGACCTCTGTAAACCAGGGTCAAAGTCAGGGTGCCCCCTGGACCATCTTGGGTGCTGTGCCAAGTGTCAGGAAGAGAAGACCCCCCTGAGAAGCACCAGGTGACCCAGACTGTCCTGTGTGCTTCTCAGGTGGGCAGCTTGGAACATGAGCTTAGAGGCAGGGAGGGCAGCTGGAGCTGTCTGGCCAGGGAGGTTTTGTAGAAGCCGAGAGGTTTGCTTCGGGAGTGACTTGGTTCCTCCTTATTCCGCATCTCATTCAATGCTCCACCAAGCCTGGGTGGGCAGGGGCAGCCGGTGACAAGGCTGAGACCCTGCGGGGAACAAGGAGCCAGGTCACGCCTTTCCCTTTGGCCTTGGGTAAGGCAAGAAGCAGGCCTGGGGTGGAGTCAAGATACAGGCCTGCTACTTTGTCGAGGGTGAGGGGGGCATGGCCTGGCAGGGCCACGGAGGAGCAGAGGCAGAGGACAGCCAGGAGTCAGGGGCCCATGTGACAGGGGCGGGGGGGGGGACCCGGGGTCTTTCCTAGTGGGAAATAAATAGAAGCCCGAGAAACCCAGCCAAAAAGTGGACTCTTGAAGTCCACTTTTCTCAAGAAGAGAGTGTGCCAGGAGATGTGTCCTGGATGGACTGACAGCTCGACAAATACTGGCCATCATACAGTGGCTGTAAATGGGCAGCTTTGACAGTGGTCCCACTGCTGGTTTGCTGAGGGGAGTGGCAAGTCCCCAAGGCTGGGCGAAGCCTCAGTGGCTGCAGCGTGCTCAGACTGCCACCACTCCGGCTGCCTGCCTGGTCATACCCCTTAAATGTGGTGTTTTTAATGCTTGTGTTTTGGTATTTATTATATCAATTTATGAAAAATGAAATTGATAACTGGGTTATTTTCAGAGCTTTCCTATAAAACAAAACTTCCTTGAGCCACTTGAATTAACCTGTTTTATAAAGTAAACTTTCCAAAGAGTTGGCTTTACTTAGCAATTCCATTAATAGGCTTTATATCTCTGAAACTTGTAACAACAGTTTAAAGTTTGCAGGGCAAAAAGTTATTTGTTATTTGTACTAAGTTCAGAAGAATACTGCTTTACAGATGACTTCAATCGAGTGATCCTGTCCATGAAAAGGGGTCAGGAATACACAGACTACATCAACGCCTCCTTCATTGACGTATGTACCCCGGCCCTGGGTGTGCCGTGTGCAGGTGTGTGCTTCCTTCATATGTGACCACACGGGCTCGTGATTGGCCTATTTTCACAATCAGAAAAAACTGACATGCTTCCAGAAACTCAACAATTTTATTAGCAGAATTACTTGCTTTAAAAACATGAATAATCAACTTTGGAAATAGAAGGATATAGACTTACTGCTAAGTAACTGGATATTTTTTATTCCACTTTTAATATCCAGCGATTTTTCTTGTCCATATCTATTATGCACCAGTTACATACCCAGCACTTCCTTCTGCTTTCTCTCATGTGATTTCTGCAACACGTGCCCATGCAAATAATACAGTTATGTGTTCAGGGCACACAGGCACAGGCTGTCTTCATGCACGGCACAGTCAGCAGAAGAATGGGCAGGAAAGAGCATTGCAGCTAAGTGCGTGTTAGTATTTCCGTTCACAGAAGAGAAAACTGTGCCAGAGGTCAGTGGAGTCCTAGTGGAGGAACTGGGATTCGAACCCACTTCCTCTGACTCCATTCCCAGGGCCCTTTGCACCACCATGATGCTTACCCAGCTGTAAAACACTGAAACATGTTAGAATCAAAGTCACCAGATGCTGTTCAGGTGATCACGAGTGACTGGTAGTTCGTGATGCCCATTCGTAGGTGACCTCAGGTGCTGAGGGTGGAGGTGCTAGGTTTCTGATGAAGTGGACATCTTGACCTGCTTCCCGGGTGTGTGTGTGTGTGTGTGTGTGTGTGTGTGTGTGTGTGTGTGTGTGTGTGTGTGTGTGTGTGTGTGTGTGTGTGTGTGTGTGTGTGCATGTGCCAACTGGGGTTTGGTTTGGGCTGTGGAAGGTTGGAGAGTTTCCCTCATCAAGCCTTGGGCTGCCCTAAATGCATGTGGCAGGCAGTGGCTTGGGGATGGTAGGAAGTCACAGTTAACCTCTCCTTGCCCATTTGAAGGGCTACCGGCAGAAGGACTACTTCATCGCCACCCAGGGCCCACTGGCGCACACGGTCGAGGACTTCTGGAGGATGGTCTGGGAGTGGAAGTGTCACACGATCGTGATGCTGACTGAGGTGCAGGAGAGAGAGCAGGTGAGGGGCACCGCCCAGCCAGCCCTCCAGGGGCGGTCCATGCACCTGCGGGCCGAGCTATTCATTATCAGTGTCTCACCTGCCTTTGGTCCAGCACACACTTCAGGGGGACTGAGCTGGGACTGCTGAAGAGGGAGAGAGTTTGGGAATGAAAATGGTTTCATTTCACCCTTTCCTGTTTTAGGGGTGGAGGTTAACTATAACCACCCACTGGCTTTTGTTCTTAGCTCACATTTCATTTAACCTGCCTTGAAATCCCACCATTTCATATTAGCCAAGATCACAACCTGTTGAAGAAAAAGATATTTATTCACTCTTTTTTAAGACCAATATACATAGGCATTGAGATGTGCACCTAATTAACACTGTCCTAGTCAAACTGAATGAGCTAAATGTTTCCCTTTTCCAAGAGACCCATCTGCAGTCTTCTGGTGTTTATTTAATAATATTCACGAACCCACTGCCCCACAGAAACTTTTGCAATAATGCACATCTATCTAGGTGTTCCCCCAAGACATAACCACTGCCCTGAATTTGTTTTTTTTTTCTTTGCTTTTTTAAAAAAGAAACAGCTTTACTGAAGTATAATTCGCTTACCACACAGTTCATCTTTTTAAAGGGTACAGATCACAGAGTCGTCACCTGCATCTCTAATTCCAGATCATTTTCATCATCCCAAAAACAAGCCCCACACCAGTAACAGTCACTGCCACTCACCCTCCCCCAGCCCTGGACACCACTCATCCACTTTCTTATGCTATGGATTTGCCTATTCTGGACATTAATATAAATGGAATCATACTACATGTGGTCTTTTGTGATTGAGTTCTTTCATTTAGCACAATGATTTTTCTTTTCTTTCTTTCTTTCTTTTTTTTTTTTTTTTTTTTTTTGGTGGCTGGCTGGTACAGGGATCCGAACCTGTGACCTTGGTGTTATAAGGCTATGCTCTAACCAGCTGAGCTCACCAGCCAGCCCTCGCACTGTGTTTTCAAGGTTCATTCATGTTGCAGCATGAATCAGTACTTCAATCTTTTTTATTGACAAATAGCGCTCCATTGTATGGAGGTACCACGTTTTGTTTATTTAGTCATCGGTTGATGGACATTTAGGTTATTTCAACTTTGGGGCTATTATGAATAATACTGCTTGAACATTCACGCACAAGTTTTTGCATGGTCCTGTTTTCTTTTTTTTTTTTTTTTAATATACCTAGGAGTGGAATGCTGCATCATAACATAAGTCTATATCATAAACTTTTACCATTTTCCATTTTTGAGGAACTGTCAGACTCTTTTCCAAAGCAGCTTCCACTTCACAGTCCCCACCAGCAGTGTGCAAAGGCTCTAAGCTCCCCACATCCTCGCCAACACTTGTCATTCTTTGTCTTTTTGACTAAAGCCATCCTACTGGATGTGTTCTTTGCTTTCTAAAATATTTTTTTTTAATTGCATATTATGCCTAAAGAAACTATTGTTTAGTTTTGCTTGTGTTTGAACTTTATATGTAAAGAGCATCATTATAGCATGTAGTTTTCTGGAACTGGATTTTTCCACTCATGATTGTGCTTTTGATATTTTGCCATGTTCCTGATCTGTGCTTCATTCATGGTCATTATGTCATTATATTCCACTTCACAAACCATATGTCCTGGATCCACTTATTTATCCCTTCTTCTGTCATTAGCATTTGGGTCAATTTCATTTTTTCTGTTTTACAAACAGTGCTGCCTGTACATTCTTGTACATATCTTGTGCTTTTGCTGCACAAGGAATAATATGTACCCAAAAGACAAAATGCTACATTGGAGAGTATGTGAAAGTTTGAATTTGCAAGATATTACCTAATTGCTTTTTAAAGTGGTTGAGTTTTCCAAAGCAGACACCAGCCAGGTATAAGAGATGTCATTCATCCACACACCTCATATTCTCAGGTGTCCTAAGTTTTGCTAATTGAATAGGTGTAAATACCATCATTTTGTGGCTTTGATTTGCATCTCTCTGATTTCTAGAGGTCAAGCATCACTTCATACATTTGTGCATGGCATATTTCCTCTTGTGCAGAGCCAGTTCGTGTCTCTCATCCGTTTTTCTGTTGAGTTGTTTGCCCTTTTCTTATTGATTTATAGGAGCTCTTTACATGGTCTTAATGCTAATCCTTTGATGGTTTTATGTATTCCAAACATTTTGTCCTAGTTTATGGCCTGGCCTTTCGTTCTTTTCTGTATTAGTTTGTTTCTGTTGCTTATAACAAAGTACCTGAAACTGGGTGATTTATAAAGAAAAATGACTTTTATTGCTTACAGTTTCTGAGGCTGGGAAGTCCAAAGTCCATCTGGTGGTGGTGACAGTGACCCAGAGGTCTCACATTGCAAGATGGTGAAAGCAGGAAGAGCAGAGAGAGAGAGACAGACTCTCCTCTTCCTTTAAAGCCCTCAGAACCGCGCCCCTGACCACCATTTTTAACCCACTCACTACTGAAAGCAGGAAGAGCAGAGAGAGAGAGACAGACTCTCCTCTTCCTTTAAAGCCCTCAGAACCACGCCCCTGACCACCATTTTTAACCCACTCACTACTGCACAGTCCTACAATCTAGTCACCTCTTCAAGGCTCCACCTTTCAGTTACCATAATAGGATTTCCCACCCTCTTAACAGTCACAGTGGGGGCCAAGTTTCTAATACATAAAACTTGGACATAATTCAAGTTTCAGGGAGTTTTGGGAGGATATAATTCAATCCCCTACACTCTTAATGATGTTTGTTGATAAAGAGAATTTTATTGTAATCTGATGTTTCACTCTTTTGTGTCATGGTTAGTTAAATCTTTTGGGGTCTTATTCAGTAAATCCTTCTGTACACCAAAGTGAAAGCTATTTTCTTCTTCTAAGTGTTTCACAGTTTTGTTTTTAACCTTAAGTCTTAACTCATCTGGGTTTATTTTTGTTGTTTCAAGGATATTACAGATGGTAGTTGCTCTAGGAAGGGCTGGGGCATTCATATCAGCCCCAGTAGGATGTGAGTCAGGGTTCAATTTCCTTTTTCCCATTTAGAAAACAAATTTTTCCAGCTGCATTTATTGAATAATTTCTCCTTTTTGTCATGCATCAAAATTCCATATATATGTGTGTGTCTGTTTCTGAACTCTCTATTCCTTTCCCTCACTCAACAGGCATTAATGGGCATTTGTATTCATACTCGTATGTTATATACCTTATTTTCTTGGTCAGATGAAATATGGTAAATGGTTTGAGAGCAAGTCCGTGTTGTAAAGTCAAAACTGCTAGCCGCAAATTATTTACTATACGACTTAAAATTTTATTTTGTCCTTTAAGGATAAATGCTACCAGTACTGGCCAACAGAGGGCTCAATTACTCATGGAGATATAAAGATTGAAATAAGGAGCGATACCCTTTCCGAAGCCATCAGTATACGAGACTTCCTGGTCACTTTCAATCAGGTATCGTTGCCCTAGCTCTTTAAACTCTTGTAGACCTAATGAACTGCAGCCATCTCTCAGTGTTCTGTCACTGTCCCAGAATGTGGCCCTGCACCTGTCATGCTTCTTTGACCTTTTCCTGAGTCCCAGATTACTATGAATAGCTAGTGGGTTTAATAGGGAGCCACGCTGTGCAGCAGCAGGTGTCCTGTAAAATCCGCACCTTTATGGTCATCTACCTGCCTGCCGGAGGATGAGGACACAGGGGCAGAGGCTGACTCTGAGAGGCATTCACTGCACCCAATTTCCCTCCCCACTCCTGGGAGAATGACATCAACCAGAGGGAATGAATGAAGCCATAGAGGCCTCTCTGGGGCCCTCTCAGAGCCTTCAACCATCCCCCATCCCTACCCAGTCCTGGGCCCTGCTCACACTCTCTCCCTGGCAGTGGATGGGAACTCTGGGTCAACTGTGGGTAAGATGACTCAGCTGTGGGACTTGGTTCTGCCCTCAGGATGGTCAGTACAGCAAAACCACGTTGCCCAAAGACTTGTTGTCCTCCGTGCCATTAACAAAACCACCCAAGCCGCTAGACTGAGAAGCTGCTCATCTCACACCTCTGATGGGAAACTGAGAAGCTCGAGGCTCTGGCTTCTTAGGAAAGATAATTTCCTTGTCTCAAGCAGAGTTGACAAGCATCACCTAAAGGGTTGGCTGGGGCCTATCAGGGGCTCTAGGGGACATCCTCTGGATGTCTTGCTCCCCACTCAGAAGGAAACATGGCCAACTGCTAGCCTTTTCCTTTAGGGTGGGCAAGGGTACAAACAACCTGGCCAGAAACTCAGCCATGTAGGTGGGGACATTGGCTGAGAGCCTCAGCCTGACCCCTCTCGGGATGCCGAGAGGGCTTGGGGCCTGTTCCCCAACAGATGGGGAGGGGCATGGGACTGGGCAGCGCTGAGACATCCGTCCCCCCACAGCCCCTGGCCCGCCAGGAGGAGCAGGTCCGCATGGTGCGCCAGTTCCACTTCCACGGCTGGCCCGAGATTGGGATTCCCGCCGAGGGCAAAGGCATGATCGACCTCATTGCAGCCGTGCAGAAGCAGCAGCAGCAGACGGGAAACCACCCGATCACTGTGCACTGCAGGTGAGCGCTCCACGTGGGGAGGATGCAGACTACGCACCTGCTGAATCTGCAGCTTCTAGTGGGAGAGCTCGCTGCTCCCAGCCACGTTATTTCCCTGGACTGTATTTGTAACTTTCCTTACACATGTAGACACATAACTGACATAAATGTCATCTTATCAAGCATGCAGAATGCACTTTTAGAGAAGCAGTCAGGAAACAACTAAAACACACGTTTCCATGTGCTTTTGAAGCCATAACAAGTCGCAGCAAAGCTTGACAAATGCACTCCTACATTTCAAGTTGCTTGCCTTCCTTTGAAAAATGGTTCTGGTTCTGGTTGCTGAGCCCACACCTGCCCATCCGAGCCCCTGGGCTTGGGGAACCAAGTCAGTGTGAACATGGGCTTAGGATGGTTTTCCCATGCCACATGAGGATGTCCAAGCCGGGGTCACTAAAAGAGGCCTGTAGCCACACCTTCCTTAAGCCTTCCAGCCCAGCTCCCAAGTCAAGCCCAAGGGCAGAGGGTCACACCCGGAGCTGCACCTAGAGACAGCTGAGCACCTCAACAATTTCTTTGATAGGCAGCGTTTGAGAGTAGGAGGGTGAATCCACCTGCCACCCCACCTTCCTTCTGTGCCTGTGAAGTCCTGGTCCTGCCAAGCACCCCCTGCAGGGACCTGGGCCTTCTGTGCCTGTGAAGTCCTGGTCCTGCCAAGCATTGCAAAGCTCTTCCAAGCAGGAGTTTGGAGTATTTTTATTCTTGGATGGTGATAATTTGCCTCTAAAGTTGCAATTCTATATATTTTCCCACACATGCGGCTCCCACTCTGTGTGATTTCCCCCACCCGCTACCACTCTTGCTGTGCCTCTAAAGTTGCAATTCTATATATTTTCCCACACATGCGGCTCCCACTCTGTGTGATTTTCCCCACCCACTACCACTCTTGCTGCCGCAGAGGGTCACACCCGGAGCTGCACCTAGAGACAGCTGAGCACCTCAACAATTTCTTTGATAGGCAGCGTTTGAGAGTAGGAGGGTGAATCCACCTGCCACCCCACCTTCCTTCTGTGCCTGTGAAGTCCTGGTCCTGCCAAGCATTGCAAAGCTCTTCCAAGCAGGAGTTTGGAGTATTTTTATTCTTGGATGGTGATAATTTGCCTCTAAAGTTGCAATTCTATATATTTTCCCACACATGCGGCTCCCACTCTGTGTGATTTCCCCCACCCGCTACCACTCTTGCTGCCACCCTTGCTGCCAGTGAAGCCCACCCCCGTTAACTTGGAGGGCTTGAGACTCTTTCCCTGTCAGAACCCTCTGGGTACTCTCCTGGCCTGGTCAGTAGGGGGCGCACACACTCGGGTTTTTAGTTCCAGGTGCCTTTCTTAGGTCATTCAGAATAAAGAAGAAATGAGTTCCTTCCTGCTCTGCCTCTGCAAACTCAGGCTATGAGTTTAGCACTTGTAGGATACTGGGGATGCAAAGGTGAACAGATCCTATAGGGTATCCCACCTGTGGGAAGGCAGATGTGGGACAGGTCATTGCAGCAGGACAGGAGCCTTAGAATAAGATTCGGGGACCAGGAGGGCAGCCTTGCTTCCCCAGAGGGGACTGGAAGGGGCTAGCCAGCCACGCCTCCTTTGGCCTGACCACATGGGCTCTCCTAAGTGGGCCTGGACTTTGCTTTTGTGGTGTTTGTCCAGCTTTTCAAGCAAATGATCATCTTTAACGGAGTTGACTCAAATCATCATTGATCTAAGTGTCATTGTCTGACTGTTCCTGTTCCTGGCAGCGAGTACCTTGTGCTTTAACATCCCTTAAATCCTGCCTTTCAGCATCACCCATGTCAGAAGACAGGCCCTGGCACAGGAAGGAAAGTCTGTGCCAGGATCACCTCCTCCCCAGACCTGACTGGGGAGGGTGTGCATTTCTAACAAGATCTCAGGTGATGCTGGTGCCGCTGGTCCAGGGTCTGCACTTTGAGAAATGCTGGTCTACACAAGGAAGAGGGGAGATGGCTACACTCACTTAAAAACTTGTAACTGGTCCTAATTCAATGCATGAAATATCTGTCTAGTATAATTTAGGGATGGGTTTTAGGAATGTCATGTTTGCTGAATCTTGCTCAGCAGCTTAGCTACGTGTAAATGATCATTAGAAATCCAATCAAACTGATCATTTTGAATGACTCAGCACTGACATGCAGGGTCATAGTGAGTTGTCTATCTTTCATTCCCATGTGCAAGTTTGATTAACTGCATTCAGTGCTTTTTCTCCTCAGTGCTGGAGCTGGGCGGACAGGTACATTCATAGCCCTCAGCAACATTCTGGAACGAGTTAAAGCCGAGGGACTTTTAGACGTATTTCAAGCTGTGAAGAGTTTACGACTTCAGAGACCGCATATGGTGCAAACCCTGGTAAGGATCTGAACAGTAAGAATGTTTCCAGAAGAGTCGAGAATTGTTTCACGTAGTATTTGATGTATGTTTCATTGAAGGAACTCAAGTATATGTGGGAGGTGGGAGGGGCANCCAATCAAACTGATCATTTTGAATGACTCAGCACTGACATGCAGGGTCATAGTGAGTTGTCCATCTTTCATTCCCATGTGCAAGTTTGATTAACTGCATTCAGTGCTTTTTCTCCTCAGTGCTGGAGCTGGGCGGACAGGTACGTTCATAGCCCTCAGCAACATTCTGGAACGAGTAAAAGCCGAGGGACTTTTAGACGTATTTCAAGCTGTGAAGAGTTTACGACTTCAGAGACCGCATATGGTGCAAACCCTGGTAAGGATCTGAACAATAAGAATGTTTCCAGAAGAGTCGAAAATTGTTTCATGTAGTATTTGATGTATGTTTCATTGAAGGAACTCAAGTATATGTGGGAGGTGGGAGGGGCACATTCCCACGGAGGACAGCCAGCTGCAGCTTCTCACGGCGGAGCTTTACAGACCCGCTACCTTGCTGGGTCTCTGACTCGGGTCTGTCCTCTGGGCAAGACCCAGGAGGAGGGGCTCATCCACGAATTTCAGTGGCCAAGGGCACTGATGACAGGAGCTTCTGTGTCAAAGTGAACTATTCTAGGAGATTCCAGTGTACATTTAAATGTGTACTGCTATCAAGTTCAAAAGCAGCTCTGAAGTTTGAAGTCCTGCTGATTGGCATTTTCAATTTTACACCATTCCATGTGGTCTGTTTTCCTTGGCTGGGCCTCAGTGACCAGTGCGTTAAGGAATTGACCTAATGTAACTTGCCCTATACGTTTTCTTTCATCACGTGGACACACACTGTCTGGTTTTTGGAAGAGATTCCTCCTTACCAGATTCGGTCATGGCTCATGCTAAACCAGCAAGTGCAATTTTAAAGGCTGTGACACCTCACAGTTATCTCCAAAGCTTCCTACTTAGGACTTGTTTCCAGCCTGCTCATTCTCCAGGCTGACACAACCCTGGCTCAAGCAGCCTGCTCCCTGTGCACGAAAAGGTAGCAAGGGGGACCCTTCCACGACCTCCTGTCACAGTGGAGCACAGCAGCCAGAGAGAACCGCCCTAGCTAAGGACAGCTGTGCCCTCCACACCCAGGTTGGGCCGCAGTGATCCCCACCCACGCTGCACAGTAGACTCACCTGGGGAGTATTGACCTTCCTCCCATTATCCAAGCTTCCCCTCAAACTGGTGAAGTCAAATCTCTGGGGGTGGGACCCAGGCATCCACGTATTGAAAGCCCCCCACCCCCCAAGTAGTTCCAAAGTGAGTGCAGGCTGAAGCCATTGGACTGGAAGGAAATCAGGTGCCTGCTGTGTCCCACTCACCTCTAAATCTCTGCTGACTGTGACTGTGATGGAAACCAGGATCCACGTATTGAAAGCCCCCCACCCCCCAAGTAGTTCCAAAGTGAGTGCAGGCTGAAGCCACTGGACTGGAAGGAAATCAGGTGCCTGCTGTGTCCCACTCACCTCTAAATCTCTGCTGACTGTGACTGTGATGGAAACCAGGACAGCTGAAAGCAATGGGAAGGAAAAGGCACCTAGGACTTTCCCACTGACCTTGGGGCTCTGGTCCCAGCACTGACAGACTCAGCTAGGGCTATGGAAAGACACAAGAGAGGCGATTAATGCCTTCTAAAGTTTCTACCTGTCCCCTGCTAGCTGAAACCACAGGGAGATCACAAACTAAAACAACTTTGTGCATGGAAAAAAATCTGTGGCAGACCACTCCACAAAAACTGTTTAGATCAAAATGATAGTAATAATAAAAATGTAATAGAAAGCCCCTCAAAAAGAAATTCAGTTTTTAATTATGAGCCAGACTCGCTTGAGTTTCTTTGCTGACTGTTTAATTCTTCTGCAATCTCTCCCAGGCAGCCCACCTGGCCACAGTCAGGTCTAAAAGAGAAGCCATGTGGTCCCTTCAAAGCCTGGGCCACATCCAGGTGTCATACAGCTTCACAGCAGGACTCCCTCATGGCTCTGGAGCTTGGACAAGCTCCTTCTGTTCTGTAGGCTTCAATTCCTTTCTGGAAAGGAAAATGGGGATGAGGGTGCTGCCTTTAGAGTCTCTGTGCAAAATGTGCTTTAGGTACGTTAGGGGCTCCACGAATGCCTGACCCCAGAGTAGGTGCCCAGCGAACTGCAGCAAAGAGCGTCTGTCAAAGAAGCAGCACACAGCACATCCTTGGCTTTTTTAGGGACTTGTAGCTCTCCTTAAGTTGCCTGGTCTGTCATTATATTCTATGTTGAAGAGCATCGAGACTCCGAGTGTCCTGTCCCAGTTCTGCTTTCTCCGATCCCAGCTTCTCTTACCACACTTCTTACTGAGAAGCAGCCCTAGGACACTTCCTGGCTCGCATCTGTTTTCTTGCCTGGTGGCGGCTTGACAGAGCATTTTGCAACCTTATTTTTAAAGTCAGCGTCTAGCCCAATGCCTAGCCCCAAAACAAGTGGTGAATCAGTAAACAAGTGAGGCACCTGTTGGGCATTGGACAGTAACTGTCATGTGTTGGGGGCTGTGAACCAGATGCTCCACAAACCTCTTTCTCATCTCAACCTCACCATGTTCTTGTGTCAGCTTCTGTTCACAAGGAGTGCTCTGCCATCACCCCCACTGGGGACGGGTAAGCCACCTGACCAAGATCCTCAGGCGTTATATGTCAGAATGAGATTCAAGCATAATCTGACTCCAGAATTGAAGGGCTCAGAATTGAAGACCTAACATTTGGCAGGGACATTTTAGCAAGGAACACAGGGTGCAGGAACATCACTGAGCAACGAGATGCGTGCTGACGTGCAGGTTGACGTGGCTCTGCAAATGGGCACAGCGGGTCACAAACCAATTTCTAATTGCTGACCATGCAGGGAAGGCCCATTTCCAGAATGCTAGATAGCCTTCATCAGAACCAGCATTCCAAAGACCCCAAGTGCACTTGTTTCCCGGGAGCTTTGTGCCTTGATAAGAAATGTCTATCTGTGGACTGGGAGGTGGCCTGTGTCATCCCAGCACACTGCCAAAATATGCTTCATTGGCCACTGGACACTAATCACTTGTACTCGAGACACAACAGATGGTCAGCAGTTAGCTCATGTGTTTGCTGTGAAAACCAAGTGACTAATGACCATCTCTGCTTCCCTCCCAGATTGGAGCCAGCTCTGATATTCAGCTGATATAGCTTTCAGATAGAGGAAGCTGGGGAAGTCAAGTCAAAAGCCAGTTTGCACATGTAATGCTTTATGAGTGTCATGGAAGTGGTTGCCTCTTTAAAGAGAGCCTACATGTTTATTAGGAATTTCTTCTGAAAATTCACATTCCTTTTCCTTTTGAGGGCTGGGTAATCAGGTGGAAATCTTAGTAGCTTAAAGCAAGGACCCCTACAGTCTGTTCCTGGCTCTCCCAATAATTTCATGCATCTCAGAACCAAAGATTTTATTTGTTTGACCTTGTCATGATAACACCACATTCTAACCAACTGGGCTAACTGGCCAGCCCAGAACCAAACTTTATGGTCCACATTTTCTTTCTCTGGAAAACCAAGCTCAATCCCATCCCAGCCAGATTGAGACTCATGGAAAAACT